AATAAATAAGCTGACATTTAAAAGATGCTTCATTGTACTTGCTCTTTAAAAGTGTATATTTTGGGGCCAGCCCGTGGCTCACTCGGGAGAGTGTGGTGCTGATAACACCAAGGCCACGGGTTCGGATCCCATATAGGATGGCCAGTTAGCTCACTGGGTGAGCATGGTGCTGACAACACCAAGTCAAGGGTTAAGATCCCCTTACCGGTCATCTTTAAAAAAAAAAAAAAAAAGTGTATATTTTCTTTTGACTCCTAATGATTTTGAAAATATTTTAGTTATTTCTTTGAGAGGTTTTGAACTTTTTTGGTACATATGTAAGAGACATAAAGAGAATGAGGTATTTTTTTTTTCTTCTCTCCTTTTTTTTCTTCACCCTCTTCAGTTTTTTGAGTCACGGAGTGGGCATATTTTGCAAAGTTTGTAGCAAAGTTTTGGTTTTAAGAAAAGGTAATAGCTGAAGTTCAGTGAGCACACTTCTCATGACCCTCATAACAGTGGTATTCCATGGAGATGATAATGTGTTTTTGAAGCTACTTACAACACTGGTTGCCAGGGCTGTGGGAAGAAGGTTGAGGAGGAGGGTTGTCTACAAGGGAACATGGTGTCACATTTTCATCACTATCACGTGGTGTTAAATGCATCAACAATATGCATTTAAGGCTCTTTAATGTCTTTTCGTGGCTTGAGAGATAACTTCTTTTTATCTCTGAGTAATATTCTATTGTATGGATGTGCCATGTTTTATTTATCTATTCACCTACTGAAGGACATGTTGGTTACTTCTAAGTTTTGGCAGTTATGAATAAAGCAGCTGTGAAGATCCATTTGTAGTTTTTTGGTGTGGATGTAAGTTTTCAATTCATTTGGGTAAATATCAGAGAGTGGATTGCTGGATCATATGGGAAGAGTATGTTTAGTTTTGTAAAAAAACCACCAAACTGTCCTCCAGGGTGCCTGTACCATTTTGCATCCCATCAGCAATGAATGAGAGTTCATATTGCTCCACATCTTCACCAGCATTTGGTTTTGTCAGTGTTTTGGATTTTGACCATTCTAATATGTCTGTACTGGCATGTCATTGTTTTAATTTTCAATTCCTAATAACATATGATTTTTAAAAAATTGAAGCATAATTGATTATACATGTTTGTGGGGTGCAGAGTTGAATATCAATACCTGTGTACAATATGTGATGATCAGATCCAGAAAATTAACATATTAATCATTATTAAAAGTAAGTATTTTTTGTGTCCATTAACCAATTTCTTGGCAACTCTCCCCTCACCTCTAGTAACCACAGTTCTGTTTTCTCCTTCTGAAAGTTCAATCTATCGTGATTGTTGTTTCTCTCTTTGTTTTCTTTCTTGCTCCCTCTCTTTCTTTCTCTCTTTCTCTCTCTGCTTTCTTTTTTCCTTCCTCCCTCCCACTTATGAGCGAAGAAATGTGGTATTTCTCTTTCTGTGCCTGGATTATTTCACGTAATATAATTTTCTCCAAGCTCATCCAAGTTGCTGCGAATGGCAAAATTTCATTCTTATATTATGGCAGAGTAATATTCCATTGTGTATATATACCACATTTTCCTTATCCAGCTATCCTTTGATGGACATTTAGGTTGGTTCCATATCTTGGGTATTATAAATAGAGCTGCGATAAATATGAGAGTGCAGATATCCCTTCCACATGATGATTTCCATTCCTTTGGGTATATACCCAGCAGTGGGATTGCCGGATCATATGGTAGTTCTATCTGTAGTTGTTTGAGCAACCTCCATACTGGCTGTACTAATTTACAGTCCCGCCAACAGTGTAGGAGGATTCCCCATTCTCCACATTCTCACCGGCATTTGTTATCCTCTGTCTGTTTGATAATAGCCAGTCTGACTGGCATGAGATCATATCTTAATGTGTTTTTGATTTGCATGTCCCTGATGATTAGTGATGTTGAGCATTTTTTCATATACATGCTGGCCATTTGTATGTCTTCTTTTGAGAAATATCTCTTTAGCTCCTTTGCCCATTTTTTAATTGGATTATTATTATTTTTTTACTGTTTGTTTTGAATTGAAACATAATTGATTGTATATGTCTGTGGAGCACAGCATTGAGTATTAATAACTCTGTGCAATATGTGATCTCATGTCAGACCATTTTCCTAATTACTATATTTAACCATTACACAATGTAATCTTTTTTTTTTTTTTTTTTCCCTTTACCAACTGTGTTCCTTGTATATTCTGGCTATTAATTCCTTGTCAGATGTATAGTTTGTAGATATTTTCCCCTATTCTGTAGGTTGTCTTTTCACTCTGTTGATTGTTTCTTTTCCTGTATAGAAGCTTTTTAGTTTGATACAATTCCATTTATTTTTTTCTTTTGTTGCCTTTAGTTTTGGGGTCTTATTCATAAAGTCATTCCCCAGTACTTCTTCCTGAAGTGTTTCCCCTATGTTTTCTTCTAGGATTTTTTTATGGTTTCAGGTCTTACATTTAAGTCTTCAAACCATTTTAAGTTGATTTTGGTATATGGCAAGAGGTATGGGTCTAGTTTCACTCTTCTACATAGGGATGTCCAATTTTCCCAGCACCATTTATTGAAGATGTCTTTTTTCCAGTGTATGTTCTTGGTGTGTTTGTCAAATATCAGTTGGCTGTGAGTACACGAAGTGAGTACTGAGTTCTGTGTTCTGTTCCATTGGTCTGTGATTCTGTTTTTATACCAGTAGCATGCTGTTTTGTAGCTTTGAAGTATAATTTGAAGTCAGGTAGTGTAATGCCTCTGGCTTTATTTTTTTTTGCTCAGGATTGCTTTGGCTATTTGGGGTCTTTTTTTGTTTCATATGAGTGTTAGGATTGTTTTTTCTATTTCCGTGGAGAAGGTTATTGGTATTTTGGTGGGGGTTGCATTGAATCTATAGATTGCTTTCAGTTCCCTAATACATACGATTTTGAGCATCTTTTCATACTCTTATTTGACATGTGTGTATCTTCTTTGGTGAAGTGTCTTCAGGTTTTTTGCCCATTTTTAAATTGGGTTTTTAATTTTTTTGTTGATTTTTAAGAGCTCTTTGTATATCTTAGAAAACAGTTTTTTTTTTTTTTATCAGATATGTCTTTTGTAAATATTTTCTCCCAATCCGTGGCTTGTTTTCTCATTCTCTTTACAGCGTCTTTCACAGAGCTGAAGTTTTTAATTTTAATGAAGTCTAGCTTATCAGTTATTTCTTTCATGGATCACACCTTTGGTGTTGTATATAAAACATCATTGCCAAACTCAAAGTCACCCTAGATTTTCTCCTATGTTATTTTCTGGGGTATTTATAGTTTTGTATTTTACATTTAGATGTGATGTCTATTTTGAGTTCATTTTTGTGATTGGTGTAAGGTCTCTGTCTAGACTTATTTCTTGCATGTAGATGTCCAATTGTTCCAGTACCATTTGTTGAAAACACTGTCTTTTTCCATTGTATTGCCTTTACTCCTTTGTCACAGATCAGTTGACTATATTCACATGGGTCTATTTCTGGACTCTCTATTTGGTTCTATTGATCTATTTGCCTAATCTTTCCAATACCACACTGTCTTGATTACTGTAGCTTTATAATGTTCTCGTTGCTTTTATTGAGGTGAGGCTTTTTGAAGAGCCTTACTCTGCCATACCTGCATGTCATTCTCTATTATGTTTTTGGAGATACTGTCACATTGGTAAGATTATCATCTTTTTATAAGTAAATGAAGAAATTCACACTCTGGCTGTAAAACGAGTTAATGAAATTTATTATCTCAGCTCTTACTCTAAACAGAAGCAAGGATAGCTGTTCTTTTGTTTGTTATGTTTTCAGGCAAAAAAAGTTGATTCTTTTTCTTATAGCTTTGTTGTGAGATTTAAAGGTTGACACATAAAACAAACTCTCAATTCCAGTACATGGAATTAAGAACAATAAGTTCTCAATAAAAATTAGCTATTATCAACAATGTCTTCCTCTTTTCCTCATATTCCTCATTTAATATATCTATTGGCCTCCCCTCCTGCCCATTGGAACTGCTTCTTCTTAAATCCAAGTAGAGAAACTATAGCAAAGCTCTGGAAATAATAGATTAGAATTGAGAAAAGTCAGCAATAAAATTTCCTTTCTCTGAAAATTTTTTTCTTATGTAATCGAAACTTGTTAGTATTGCCTTGTATGAATGCTGACAGGAAATAAATGAAGAGAGAGATCTGTACTAGCAGAGAACTTTAGCAGCTGGAAGGCAAAGAAATGAGAGTAATGTAGTATACTGCATGGGAGACTGAATGAGACCAGGAGTCAGAAAGTCTAAACTGCCAACACTAGGCAGTTTAGACTTTCTGACTTCTGGTCTCATTCAGTCTCCCATGCAGTATACTAAAAATTAATAAATAAATTCATACACACACACAAAAAAAACCCGGGGGGGGGGCGGGGGAAGAAGATATAACAACTACAATTACTTGAAGTTGATACAGCAAGCAAACACAAAGGACATTGTTGGGTGGGAGGGAGGAGAGGGAGGAGGGAGGGAGGTTTTGGTAAGGGGCAACAATAATCAACCACATTGTATAGCGACAAAAAAAAAATGTCTAAACTGTATTCCCTATCTGCCACAAAAAAAACAAAAAAAACAAAAAAAAACAAAAAAAAAAATCAGTGTGATTTTAGCATTTCTCTGACCCTAACACCTTTATCTGGGAATTTTTGTGCAATTGAATTACATGTTCTCTGAAATCTTTTCTAATTTTTGTTATTCAGTTGAATGCGCTTTATGCCTTGTGATGAATACTGAGAATGTTACATTTATCCTAAGACTGTTCCTTTTGGAGTAAACTACAAGGACAACTCTAGATCCTAATAAAGCCACATTTGGTGTTTTCAGGAAAGTTCTGCATTTACATTTTTTTTTCTAAAAATATTCCTAGTATGTCACTTGCAGAAAATGACAACAATATGATTTTAATATCCTTTGTATGCTTTGTTTTAGGTTGGTACAGAGGAGTTTCAACCAAGAAGCCAAATGTAAAGGTAATGAAAAGTTGATTACTTTTTCTAATGTAGGAAGGAGCTGCCTAGTATGTTTCAAATAATAACAACTCTTACTGGTTGGTTCATCTTTTAATCTTCTACAATAGTCACAACCATTCTTTCTTTTACAGAACTGAATCAGATTCTTCTCTGTCCAGTAGTATTAAAATGGTTTTTCTAAAAGGACAGAAAATGCAAATATGGTCATAGCTACAAACCTTATCATGAAAAAAGCCTACTTAGGCTTTTAAATATGTTTTTCCTCCAATTATTTGATTAAAAGGAAAGTGACTATTTATAGAGTTGGATTTTGTGGGACAGAGAAGAGGAGGGAATTATGAACATAAAGAAGTACAGAATTCTCCATAGAGATTCCTTTTAGTCTTTGGTTGAAAACTCAGCTGAAACTGCATAGAAACTCCATGAGCCCAGGGCAAAGAACAACTATTGGGGAGCTATAAATTGAAAAATTACTGTAGCATACATAAGGTTGCCAGGCATTAAAGTTCTGATCAATCAGAGTGGAAAGAACTCAGTAAACAAATGATCTTTCAGTAAGGACCCAGTAAGACTTCATGCTAAGAGTAAGGTCAAACCCTAGAGTAATGTCTTCTCTAGGCACACTCTAACAGATCTTAAAGATGAAGATGATTTACAAATAAATCAATGGCCTGACAAAATGAATTTCCTTTTCTTTAAAAGGAGACAACAACATTCAGATCAAGAAATTCAACAGTATAACTTCAAAATTCTGGAAAACAAAACAAAAATTATTAGACATGATAAAATGTAAACCATAACCAGAAGAAAAAGCAGTCAATACAAAGAAACCCCAACTAGCCAAAAAGAAGCTTAAACTAATTATTAAAATTTGTTTAAGAATTTAAAGGAAAAGAAGAACATAAGGAGAGTGCAACTGATATTTAAAATATAACAAAATGGACATTACAGAGCTGAAAAAACATCTGATTTAAAACTTTCTGTAGAGGTGTGAAATGGCATTTTAGACACAGTGGAAGAAAGAATATTACACTCGAAGACCTAATATTAAAACTATCCAAACAGAAGATTAGATGGGGAAATCTGAAAGAATACAATTAAAATAGCAGTAGAAATTGGTGAGATAACATAAAACAATGTATGTGTTAGGTGGATGTTCTGTGAATACCACTAGATCCTGTTGGTTGACGGTGGTGTTGAGTTCTTTATCATTACTGACTTTCTGTTTAGTTCCGTAAGTCTCTAACTATAATTGTGGATTTGCCTGTTTTCTTCATTACTATCAGTTTTATGTCACATATTTTGTAGCTCTCTTGCTCAATGCATGCATGTTAATGATTGCTGTCTTCTTGGTGGTTGACCCTTTATCATTAAATAATGTCCCTCTTTGTATTTGGTAATTTCCTTTGCTATGGAGTCTACTTTGTCTGACATCACATCCTGCTTTCTTTTTATTAATTTTTGTGTAACATATATCTTTTTCCATTATTTTTACTTTCAGATTGCCTATATTATATATAGAGTGAGTTTTATAGGCATCATATAGATGGATCATGTCCACCTATAGACTCTGCCTGTCTTTTAATTAGTGTATTTAGATTGTTGGCATTTAATGTAATTATCGACATTTTAGAGCTTAAGTCTGCCATATTATTTTTTGTTTTATGTTCTGTTTTTATTTTCTGCTTTCTTTGTCCTGCCTTCTTGTGGTTTACTTGAATTGTTTAAAAAAGAATTTCATTTGACCTCTCTTTCTCTTTCCTTCCATCTTTCTCCCTTCCTCATTCCCTTCCTCCCTCCCTCCCTCCCTCCCTCCCTCTCTTTGTAAATGTATTTAGTGTTTTTGAGTGTATCTTTTTGTAGAGTTCTTTATTTTTTTGTTTTTGTTTTTTTTTCCTTTTTGTCTTTTTTTTTTTCGTGACCGGTAACGGGATCGCGACCGGCAATGGGATCGCAACCCTCGGTGTTGCGTCTGCACCGCGCTCAGCCAGTGAGCGGACTGGTCTCTATATGGGATCTGAACCCTTGGCGGGAGCGCCGCCGCACTCCCAAGCACCGCACTCTACCGAGTGCGCCACTGGGCCGGCCCGAGTTTTTTATTTTTAAAATTTTTATTTATTTTTTATTGTAACAATTGTACATATCTGTGGGGTTCAGAGTGGAATATCCTTACCTATGCAATATGTGATGCTTAAATCAGGATAATTAGTATATTCAACATTATATAATGTAATAATTTTTTGTCACTGTTTACCAGTTCCTTCCTTACCCCTCCCTCCTCCTTTCCCACCACTGGCAACCTCAGTTCTATTCTGTAGAGCTTTGTTAGTGGTTACTCCTAGGTTTATATTATATATTTAGAACTTATCACAGTCTGCTTGAGTTGTCATTTTTTCCAGTGGAGTAAATTGTAGCAACCTTATCTTTTCCTTTTGTATTCCTTTGCCCTCCCTTTTATAATAATATTACGTATTTCCTGTACTATATTATTTAGTGTTACAATTTTTGTTTTAACCATAGAACATAATCAAGAAAATTCAAGAGAAGAAGGAAAGTCTGTTGTATTTACACATACTTTTGCTTACTTATTGTTTCTTCCTTATTGGTGGTCCAGAGTTCCTGTTTTGAGTTTTTTCATTTATGTTTAGAGAATTTCCTTTAATCATTCATTTAGTGTAAGCCTGCTAGAGACAAATTCTCTTAGTTTCCTTCATCTGAAAATGTTTTGATTTTTCTTTTACTCCTGAAGGGTATTTTTGGTGGATATAGGATTCTAGGTTGACAGTTCTTTTCTTTCAGTACTTGAAAGATGATGTGCCACTTTCTTCTGTTCCTTATGTTTTTTTTTTTTTCCTTTTTGTCTTTTTTACTGACCGGTAACGGGATTGCAACCCTTGGTGTCGCGCCCGCACCGGGGACCGGCAACGGGATCGCAACCCTCGGTGTTGCGCCCGCAGTGCGCTCAACCAGTGAGCGGGAACTGGTCTGCACATGGGATCCGAACCCTCAGCGGGAGCGCCGCCGTGCTCCCAGGTGGCGCAATCTCCAGTGCGCCACCGGGCCGGCCCCTTTATGTTTTTTTTACTAAAATTTTAAGGACATGGTACTTCACCTTTTTATACTTTTTTTTTCCTTTTTGTCTTATTTACTGCCCGGCAATGGGATCGCAACCCTCGGTGTTGCTCCCGCACCGCGCTCAGCCAGCGAGCGGGAACCGGTCTCCACATGGGATCCGAACCCTCGGCGGGAGTGCCGCTGCACTCTCCGGTGCGCCGCCGGGCCGGCCCCCTTATGTTTTTTTCACTAAAATTTTAAGGACATGGTACTTCACCTTTTTATACTTATTTTTAAAAATTCTAACATGTATGGTAAAATACACATAAGATAATGTTTACTATGAGTGACATTTAGTACATTCACATTGTTTTGCAAACATCACCACTGTTTAGTTCCAAAACATTTTTATCATCCCGGAGAGAAACTCCCATACTCATTAAACAGTCACATTCCTCCATCCCCAGTCCCTCACAACCACTGATCTTCTTTCTAATTCTATGGATTTGCCTATTCTGAATATTTCATGTAAATGAAACCATATAATATTTGCATTTATGTCTCGGTTCTCTCAGTCAGCATAATGTTTTCAAGGTTCATCCATGTTATAGCATGTATCAGTGCTCTGTTCCTTTTTCTGGCTGGATAGTATTCCATTGTATAGCTGTAACACAGTTCATTTATCCATTCATCAGTTGGTAGACATTTGGGTTGTTTCCAGCTATTGGCTATTGTGACTGCTGCTGCTGTCCTTTATGGTTTTGATAAAAAATTTGCAATCATTAGAATTGTTTTTCCACTATTGGGAGGTGTTGTTTCTCTCTTGCTACTTTTTCTTTTTAAAAAAATTTAAACATAATTGTTTGTACAAGTCTGTGGGGTATGGTGTTGAACATCAATACCCTTGTGTAATATATGATGCTCAAATTGGGATAATTAGTATATTCAGCATTATAATGTAATCATTATGCAATGTAATCATGTTTTCGTGGTCCTATAACAGTTTCTCACTAACCCCCTCACCTCACTTCCCCTTTCCCACTTCTGGGGGCCTCAGTTCCATTCTCTCCTTTTGAAAGTTCTGTGAATTATTGTGATTGTTGTATCTTTCTTTCTTTCTTTTTATTTATTTATTTATTTATTTATTTCCTTTTTGTCTTTTTTACTGACCGGTATGGGATCGCAACCCTTGGTGTCACGCCTGTACCGGGGACCGGCAACGGGATCGCAACCCTCGGTGTTGCGCCCGCGCCGCGCTCAGCCAGTGAGCGGGAACCAGTCACCACATGGGATCCAAATCCTCGGCGGGAGCGCCACTGCGCTCCCAAGTGGTGCACTCTCCAGTGCGCCACCGGGCCAGCCCTGTATCTTTCTTTTTAAAATTTATTTTTTTAGCTCTCACTTATGAGTGAGGTCATGTAGTATTTCTGTTCCTGTGCCTGGCTTATTTCACTTAACATAATTTTCTCCAAGCTCATCCATGCTGCTGTGAATAGCAGAATTTCATAATTTTTTATGACAGAGTAATATTCCATTGTGTGTGTATGCTACGTTTTCCTTATCCAGTCATCTGTCGATGGATATTTAGGTATGTTCCAACTTTTGGCTATTGTAAATAGAGCTGAAATAAACCAGGGAGTGAAGATATCCCTTTGACATGATGATTTCCATTCCTTTGGGTATGTACCCGGCAGTGGGATGGCTGCATTGAATGGCAGTTCTATCTGTAGTTGTTTGAGGAACCTGTATGTTTTCCATAATAGGTACACCTATTTTATACCAACAGTGAAGGAGGGTTCCCCTTTCTCCATATCCTTGTCAGCATTTGTTATTCTCTTGTCTTTTTGAAAATAGCCAGTCTAACTGTGGTTTTGATTTGCATTTCCCTGATGACTAGTGAGTTGAGCATTTTTTCGTATACCTGTTGGCCATTTGTATATTTTCAA